AGGGAATGCTTGGATAGTAGTGTTTCTGGTAAATCTTGTTTCTGCTGGGTACAGTGCTAGCAGACACAGGGGGACCCTATAACAGCTTAAACATATATACCATCACCATTATAAACTACAGACTATCACCAACTTGTTCTGGTTGATGTTCTCCTTCCTGGTACAAGATACTTACAACATTGTGTCAACAATACATACTTACGCAATGTTGTGACTGGTGTAACACACAGTTGTACAATATTGTTACTTATAAACACAATGTTGTGATTTCTATACACATAGTTGTACAATGTTGTGATTTATACACACATAGTTGTACAATGTTGTGATTTATATACACATAGTTGTACAATGTTGTGACTTATATACACTTTGTTGTGACCTGTATACACACAGTTGTACAATGTTGTGACTGGTATACACATAGTTGTACAATGTTGTGACGTGTATACACATAGTTGTACAATGTTGTGACTGGTATACACATAGTTGTACAATGTTGTGACTTATATACACTTTGTTGTGACCTGTATACACACAGTTGTACAATGTTGTGACTGGAATACACATAGTTGAACAGTGTTGTAATGAGTTTCTATGTTGTAAGTTTGTGGTAATGAGTTTCTATGTTGTAAGTTTGTGGTAATGAGTTTCTATGAAGTGCAATGCTGTTTATGCGTTGCTAGATGACTAATTATTGTATACACATCATTATAAGAAAACAGCTGTGGTAAAACTACATTAATTTATGTGCATTTGTGTGTTTAATATAATGATTCATCCATGTTAGTTATTCTGCATTAGGTCATTAGCTATTCCAGTTTTGATCTATTGTATAATTACATCTGTACTACTTAGGTTATAAAATGTAATATGAATGTTCAGTTAGATCAGTAACAGGAAAGGTTCACTATTCTTCCAGGTTAAGATATGCATTTTGTACCGACATCACACCCTGTGTTTTCTCGAAGGAGAGGAGGGGGATCCTCTACCCCCCCCCCCCCCCCCCCCCCATATCTTGAAATTCTGCCTAGAAAAAGCTACAAATCCCCCCCTCCCCCATTTAACCTGGAGACAAAACTGCACACCAGTACCAGTCAATAGTATATTTCAAGCTTGTCCTACTTAAATGTTTTAAGATGATTGAATTTTTATCAGGGACATATTTCACTCCTCCAGCCCAGGTTATAGGGTTGGTGTGTGGATAAGCCAGCACCCAGTTTGTATTGTTATCAGAGCACTGAAGGCAGGGATCATATATCTCTGTTATCTAGACAACTGCCACTCCACGGGAACCTATCTCTGGTAAACCTCTAAAGAGTGCACGCTGCAGACTACACCCCCATAGACTGAACAACATAGACTCAACAACAGGTTATATATATCTACACCACAGGGACATAGTACTCACAGACAGACTAAACAACAGGTTATATATATCTGCACCACAGGGACATAGTACTCACAGACAGACTAAAAAACAGGTTATATACATCTACACCACAGGGACATAGTACACACAGACAGACTAAACAACAGGTTACATATATCTACACCACAGGGACATAGTACACACAGACAGACTTAACACCAGGTTATATATATCTACACCACAGGGACATAGTACTCACAGACAGACTAAACAACACGTTATATATATCTACACCACAGGGACATAGTACACCCAGACAGACTTAACAACAGGTTATATATATCTACGCCACAGGGACATAGTACTCACAGACAGACTAAATAACAAGTTATATATATCTACACCACAGGGACATGGTACACACAGACAGACTAAACAACAGGTTATATATATCTGCACCACAGGGACATAGTACTCACAGACAGACTAAACAACACGTTATATATATCTACACCACAGGGACATAGTACTCACAGACAGACTAAAAAACAGGTTATATATATCTACACCATAGGGACATAGTACACACAGACAGACTAAACAACAGGTTATATATATATACACCACAGGGACATAGTACTCGCAGACAGACTAAACAACAAGTTATATATATCTACACCACAGGGACATGGTACACACAGACAGACTAAACAACAGGTTATATATATCTACACCACAGGGACATAGTTCTCACAACCAGACTAAACAACAGGTTATATATATCTACACCACAGGGACATAGTACTCCCAGGCTTCACGTTTACAACATCACAGGACCTTGTACACAACATGGCTACACACCAACAACCTATCTTGTAAACCTTTGTCTTAGAACTGGACCATTTAGAAACTGTAGTTCATCTACCTAGATGTCAGTACCACTTCGTCAGCAAGGGGAAATTAATCAGAGGCTTATTAAACCCAAACAAGTGGACACAAAAAAATCCTTTCCTAAAAAGAAGAACGAGCTTGAGGACATTCTTTGTGAACTTAAAATCTAAACCTGATTTGCTTTCATTGATGAATCTACAAACTATATTCATATACTTGACACAACCTGCCATTGGTTCAATACTTATCTCTCAGATATTAAGAGTAGGGTGGTCAATATTTAACATAATAAGGGCACCAACTGGGATTTTAGAATCATAAATACTTTTCGAAAACTTCTGGATGATTTGCTGTCCTGGATTTTATAGAATCGCCCGGTTGTTTTTTCCTAAGACAACCTCTGCTACTAAAACAGTGACTGAACTAGTGTACTGAATGAAAACAAAGCTGTCATGGAACATTATCTACCAATAAAGTGATGATCAATGAAGCCAGAGTGATCAAACACTTTTATCAATGGAGAATTCAACCGAAGAATCAAATCAAGAAACCTTCATGTCTTTGCAACAGTTGGAAGACAGTTTTTACAGTACATAACAAGAATATTTTTCCCATAGACTGCTCGAAAGTTTATCGGACCTTGATTTCATCTCGATTTTCTCAACGACCAATGTCCTTTCCAACCCATTAGTCATATGAATCACACCAGACCAGGTTTATGGTTGTATGAATCCCACTGAGTGATATTTTTTCCTGCATCAAGTAAAAAACGTGGTTACCTGACAGATTATCACACACACATCATAAACCCTCAGCACTTCCACGACTTTACAATCTGACAACATCCCAGGTTTGACCTACGACCTTCTTCCTACACAATTCTCCTGACATGGTTGGGGGATTTCCATGAGTTTATGAACTGTTCTGCTGTTCATTTTTATATAAATTTCATGCAGATGAAGCCAGCTACATGCATGAAATTCACCTCTCAGCAAATTGCAGAAAACTTTTGAACGAAACATAAAATGATCTTAACATTTCTTTAAGAATTAAAAATATCTACCACAATTACAAGATATATCATTTTGTTTATCGTGCACCCTTATGACCTCTCCTGCTAAATAAAGATGATGCTCATGGTTTTCCTTGTCAAATCTCCGACATATCACACCTTAGACTTGATGCATCTCTAATATCTGTGCTCAGAAATGCAAGAGATGGGAAAGCTGTAACAACAAAGATGGTTGGGAATGCCACGGATGTGCGACACTTTGAATTTAATGCACCCAGTTTTCCTGGCCAACTCTCATTTTCAGGACTTTAAGTATCAATTACGGGATTAGTGTGGTAATTTTTTAGGTTCCAGTTTCTCAACAAATTCCATAAAATACAATTTAAACTGAAATATTAAGTCCATATCTGATTAGAATATTATACTTTTTTTGTAATCACATGATGATCCGTCAAGGACCAAAATGCAATGAACAAGATATTGTATAAAACGCCTAGGTATTATTGATTTCGTTTGCTGTGTTTTTCTTTATACTATAGCCAATCAAAACATGTCCAAAAAGGGGGTTTGTACATCCTAGATTAAGGATCCCCGTCCCACTGCACTGTAGTTTTTCATACAGTTTTGCCACGACACTTCCGTTCACTTGGTAACTCAGTCGGTAAGAGCGATAGCTAGTCATACCAGAACAGTTTCCAATACATACCTAGTTAAGTTTTTGGCAGTGATACATGAACTCTTAAATAGCAAGAATTCTGTAAGCAAATATATATATACAGATAACTCATTTCGAGCCCAATTAGGTAACAGTGCTGTCAGATGTGCTATTTAGTGAAAGAATTAAGATGATGCAGATAACTGTAATATTTAGACATGTTAAGGATCGCGATGACGTTAAGGATGACTATTGGAAGTGTAAGAGATTGCGCTGATGTTGAGGACGACTATTGGAAGTGTAAGAGATTGCGCTGATGTTGAGGACGACTCTTGGGAGTGTAAGAGATTGCGCTGATGTTGAGGACGACTCTTGGGAGTGTAAGAGATTGCGCTGATGTTGAGGACGACTCTTGGAAGTGTAAGAGATTGCGCTGATGTTGAGGACGAATCTTGGAAGTGTAAGAGATTGTGCTGATGTTGAGAATGACTGTTAGATGTGTAACAGATTACCGCGATGCTAAGGAAGACTCTTAGATGCGAGACATATCAGGATGATGTTGAGGATGACTGTTAGATGTGTAACAGATTACCGCGATGTTAAGGAAGACTCTTAGAAGCGAGACATATCAGGATGACTGTTAGAAGTGTAAGAGACTGCGTTGATGTTGAGGACGAATGTTAGATGTGTAACAGATTACCGCGATGTTAAGGAAGACTCTTAGAAGCGAGACATATCAGTATGACTGTTAGAAGTGTAAGAGACTGCGTTGATGTTGAGGACGAATGTTAGATGTCTAACAGATTACCGCGATGTTAAGGAAGACTCTTAGAAGCGAGACATATCAGTATGACTGTTAGAAGTGTAAGAGACTGCGTTGATGTTGAGGACGAATGTTAGATGTGTAACAGATTCCCGCGATGTTAAGGAAGACTCTTAGAAGCGAGACATATCAGGATGATGTTGAGGACGACTGTTACACATGTTACAGACCAGTTTTGCGGATGTTTTTGCTGTGTGACTATTGGTTGTGAAGGGTAGAAGGATTTATGCCAGGAAAAGTAACTTACCTGTGATACAGTTATGCCACATTTGCGTGCTAGCTCCTCTTTAGCTTCCTCACTGGGATAGGGGTTACTTAGGTGTGAGTAGAAGTATTCATTTAGGACCTCTGTAGCTTGCTTACTGAAGTTTCTTCTCTTCCTCCTACAAAACCAAACCATTATCAGTTTTGAGCTGTGAAATTTTCTCTGGAAAAATTTTACTTCAACCATTTTCAATTCCTCCATACTCTAACTATACAGTTGAGATGTGTTCCACCAGATTTTTTTTTCATAACTTGAAAAATTTCAATATGTAAATCATGGATTTCAGCATCAAATTTCTACTCTCTTTTTTTTTTAGACCTTTGACCCAGCCCAAACTTTTTGACCTCCTTATAAGCAACCCTGTCTGATAATGAGACTCTACCTTGCATCCAGGAATCTTGACCTTAAGATCATGACAGCCTCACACGTGCTCTGCTTCAGCTGCATCTCAATGGCAGCAAACTTTTTACGTATGATTCCAACCATACGCTCAATTTCTTTGGGTGCAATGGGGCGTGTACGACTCTGTTCTCGTAGGAGGTTGACAACATGTGTTGTAAACTCATTACACGCCTGAAAGTATTAGAGAAGAAATTGGGGATTCCCCGTTATGACAAGGTATAGGGTACAAAGTTAAAACAATTGCATGGTACAGGCCGATTGCCGCAATGCAAAAAAACAGCACATCTGTCCCTTAGCGTTCAATCATCGTTTGGACAACATTCTGTCTGGCCATTTGGAAAGAAGATATATTGTCATCATGATAAAAGTTAAAGGAAAGAAAATTTAACCATGTGTTGAAATATTGGATCAATCCTTAAGAACAGCTATAGTTGATAACCAACATGCAGTAAAAACAGGCATAAATTATAATAGAAGTTTGAACCAAAAAACACTTTTCTCAAATTTAATCTTCCATTTCAAAAGTTGTTGAATTGCCTCGAAATATTTTAGCCTAGTTTTGGACCTTCATTATGTTTATGGGACCTTTTTCTGGATTCATGCACAATTTTAGAAAGACTTATTTAATCTCTTTTTATCCCAAACCTTCCTAATCCTCCTACATTGACCTGTAAAACCCCTCTATTTACCCATATACAGAGTTTCTCATCTACACACTTAATCTTAAAACCTCTCCAATGAACATTTACACATTCTCTCCCATCCACGATGCCACACTTATAGTATTACTTACAACATCTACCGTTATTCCTAAACCAACACCTGTCTACCTACGGTATTCAACCCTAACCATGTCTCCCACCTACAATATTCAACACTAACCATCTCTCGCACCTTCAATATTCAACCCTAATAATCTCTTACACCTACAATATTCAAATCTAACCATCTCTCCCACCTACAATATTCAACACTAATCATATCTCCCACCTACAATATTCAACACTAATCATCTCTTGCACCTACAATATTCAACCCCAACAATCTCTTACACCTACAATATTCAACCCTAACAATCTCTTGCACCTACAATATTCAACCCTAACAATCTCTTGCACCTACAATATTCAACCCTAGCAATCTCTTGCACCTACAATATTCAACCCTAACAATCTCGCACACCTACAATATTCAACCCTAACAATCTCGCACACCTACAATATTCAACCCTAACAATCTCGCACACCTACAATATTCAACCCTAACAATCTCGCACACCTACAATATTCAACCCTAACAATCTCGCACACCTACAATATTCAACCCTAACAATCTCGCACACCTACAATATTCAACCCTAACAATCTCGCACACCTACAATATTCAACCCTAACAATCTCGCACACCTACAATATTCAACCCTAACAATCTCGCACACCTACAATATTCAACCCTAACAATCTCGCACACCTACAATATTCAACCCTAACAATCTCGCACACCTACAATATTCAACCCTAACAATCTCGCACACCTACAATATTCAACCCTAACAATCTCGCACACCTACAATATTCAACCCTAACAATCTCGCACACCTACAATATTCAACCCTAACAATCTCGCACACCTACAATATTCAACCCTAACAATCTCGCACACCTACAATATTCAACCCTAACAATCTCGCACACCTACAATATTCAACCCTAACAATCTCGCACACCTACAATATCCAACGCTTACCATCTCTCCACCGACAATATTCAACCCTTAATAACCTTCCTTTTATCAGTCATTCTTACATACAAATGTAAATATACTTTTCTGTTACGAATAATTCCCTTTCCTGCAAATATATTCTTTTCCTCTAAATTTATATTTGTTTTGCTCTTACTATTAAAACTTACAAGGTATTTTTTATCTTAATATATTCCCTAAATCCCCAATACATGTTTATGGTTTCCAACCTTCTTCACAATAAAAGGTTTACCCAATAACAACTGGGATAAGGTCCTACAGTTAAGATATAGCAAAGTTTGGTAACATCAAGCAAATTTGCAAAAGCCGGGACCACTCTTATTGAAAGGCTTCCGTTTATCTTGAACATGGACATCAGCAAACATTTCTTTCTGCAGATATTAATTAAAAGTCAAATCTCAAAAAGCTTACAAATAAAAGCTTAACTTGCAGATTCAATTCAAATCTCTATTAAACATTGCAAGGTCAACAAACATTTTCTGCCATCATGTCAGATTTTAAAGTTACACATACACAAAGCCAAATCTTTCTGCCTCAATAATTTAAATCCTTGTTCAATCTTGCGCGGTTACGTTAGCAAACATTTTCTGCAGATATTCATGAAATGTGTGTAGATCTCTGCTAGCAATTCAGCTCCGGTTATCAGCCTGGCCCCAAGATAAGTTTTATATTGATTTCATTGCCACAACTGAGAAACACGAGAATCTTAAACACTCTGTATTAAATATTGATCACGGATATCCTTATTTTACTTCATAATCTCTAACCAGGTAAAAACTAGCTCAAAACCTGTCTTCTTCTGGACACTGCTTATAGGATATCGATAAAGATGACAGCTCAATGTTATATGCAATTATAGCACACAATATCAATACATATGTGTGTTACATGTACCAACAGGAAAATTATCAATCCCTGAATTTGGTGGATTCACCAACATAATGAACAACAAATTGATCTTATTGATGAGAATTAATCAATTTAGACAAATTAATGTTCTATTGTATGTTCCGACAAACAGAGAAAAGGATACAAAAGAAATATTTACCATTGAATATAATTGTTTGGACATCAATACATTTTCTTTCTTTTTAATTATCTTTACTGAATAAAACATAATTACTGTACTTACAATATCAATACATATGAAATATGATATTATTATGCTTTAAGCAAAATAAAGAACCAAGAATTTACAGTTACCAAGATTTTAAGTTATTTCAAATTGACAAAAGCAATTTCCCAGAACAGATCTAATCTACTAAAACCTGTATACCAATATTTGAAACACCCTAAACACCGACTAAAATATCTACTTGGACAGGATGCTTACGTACCATCAACTAACCAATCAGACGCCTCCATTTACAAAAGCTGACCAATCAAAATTGGCACAACTTCCTGCATACCACTCATGCGAAAAATCTCTCCTTCTTCCAAACCCCAGTAGTCCGTGTTAATGGTGATTGTTATTTCTCTAACACACAAACATCACTCACAAAATCATGTACATGTCTCGGAAATCAATCCTTTCACATTTTACTTCAATTTAAAAAAGTTTTTAAGTGTAATGTTCTTACTACGATTTCATGATGAAATCATAATAATTTCCCCCAAGATAGTTGCCTTATATAAAAAAAAACTCAAACTGTTCCATCAAATTCCCAAATTTTTCAGTTTGTTCAGAGACAAATTGATGAATTTCTGAATGTTTTCATTTGTTAAGAGACAAATTGACGAATTTCCGAATGTTTTCGTTTGTTAAGAGACAAATTGACGAATTTCCGAATGTTTTCATTTGTTCAGAGACATGTTGACGACTTTGTTGAGATACATGTTAACATCCAGAACAGTTAATTCACTAACTAGTCTACTGGTTAGTACATGAGATAAGTAAATGGTTACATATATGATAACATTACATACATTCAAAAAATTCCCTTGAGAAACACCCAAGTTGTTAATTTTAATTGTTGGAAAGAGTGAAAGGTGAAAAAAAATGAAAAAAAAAAAAAAAAAAACGTAAAAAGGAAAGAATGATTATGAATAAGTGACCAGGACCAAAAACTATGTAGGTGAATTATGACAACACAGGTAAAAGGTAGAAAGACAAACAGAACATGGCAAAAAAAATAAACTGGAGTCAGTCACAGTGTGGAGTAGTGGTATTAATGTATTATAGTTTTGCCAGAAGACATAATGCCGCTAACCTGTTCATATTTTCCGTACTCGGTTTGGTAGACCTGGCGAATCTGGGCGAGTTTTGCCTCGTAGTCTGAGTTTTTGATTTCTGACCCATCGTTCTATAATTATACAATAAGCAAGGTGGCATGTTCAAATAAAGGTGGTAAACATCAAAGTGCCAAGAAGAGCACCTAAAGGCGAAGGACACATCAGAGTGTTGGAGTATATATAGTCTCCAAACAATGACCAAGTCGTCAAGGTGGACAACTCATGCATGACTAATGTCCGTCCGGTCGGGAGTTAGGTACACGAGCAGTAAGACACACACACCTCATCTGTGAATCTATAACCAAAGTTCTTTTGGGCATCATAATGCAAGAGTTTTATTGACCTAGATTTTCTGCTGCACACAAGATTGTGTTAGAAAGAAAATTTTGATTATCATATACTGCATATATGACCAAGTGATTGAAAACTGTTCTTATTTGCTGTTACACCTTTTCAAAATGTTACATTTCATAAAAGATAGCTATAGTCAGTCCTTTATTCAAAAGAATACTTGATTTGCTTGTCTTGGGTTGTAGCAGATGAGGTGGGTCTGTAAATAATATTTGTCTGATGAATGATAACAGCTATAAAATATATAACATAATAATAATAGGGAAAGAAGGCTGAAAATGATAATAGGACAATAGACAACAAATACATAACACGAGGTGGAATATTTTCAAGTTATAGACCCAGAGGATCTTGTAGACATTTACAGTTATCACTTAGAGTATTCAAAATCATTGTCAGAGAGAAGCTCTGCAGCCATTTAACAATTACCACTAACATCGACTCATTCACCCCTGAAGACACATTTGAACCCTTCCAATTCAAAGGTTGGAATAGTTTATTGTGAAATTTCAGGGGTGCATGAGTTAAGCATGTGGTACACTCATTACATTATAGCTGCCATACGTTTACACTGTCATGAAATTGTTGAAGAATGTTATTTAATATTTTCTTCAATTTAAAACATCATACAACTGGTTGATTTAATTACATTTTGAGCTTAATATATACACTGTACAACAGGAAATGTAATTAATTAATTAGTGTCACTGTTTTTTGTTTGTTTATTTTGATAGCTACCAACTCTATTTTCATTTATGATTATAATTATCTCTCCTTATAGTGTTACAAAACTGCATTTTAAATTTGCATTTCATACCTTTTACAAATTACTTACACTGCAACGGGCAGAAAACCTTCCCTTCAATTGGGATTTTTGGAGAATGCTGGCGAGCATGACCAAGTGTTTTTAATCATCATCACATACTTTAACTTATGAAATGGTGAGAAAAAAATATCAATAGTTTCTAATTTAGAAATGGCAGAAAAAGAAATTAGACTCACAATTTACAGAGCCCCTATGACAAATCATTTGTATTTTTTTTTTCACAAGTGAATTACATTTTGTGAGAAACTTCAGTGAAACTCCTGGGTTTTTCACAGGCACAACAATTTAACATTATGGTACCAGCACCATCAGCTTTCTCAGACCAAAACTCACAATGGAATTTTTTTTTTAAGAATTCTATCAAATTGGGGAAAGTGAATCTGGAGACCATGTAAACGTATGGAGAATGTTGGCAGGGACCCCTGGGGACAAGGCCGGGCATGAAATGCCAGCTAACCTAAATTATTGATCAAGAATCTGTTTTTGTAGGTTTAATCCCTCAGCATGCTGAGCTTTTAGGGGTTTTCTTGTGGAGCACGCACTATGCCAGTTTGCTTTTAAGTTTAAGCCCGTCTTGAAACAATGCCTCAAACATTACAGAGTACGCCTCGTTTCATACTGTTTAGATCATTAAACATATCCAATAATTTTGAGATATTTTTCAAAGGTCTATCTAACACAGGGTCCTTTTGCAAAAAGTCGACAGCAATTGTAATTTGCAAACATTTTGTAGGTCAATTAACAGATCTGTGTGTTAATATATACATCAAATCACTGGGTTCTAACAGAAAGAGACTAAACTAGAGTTTAATGCATGCTTTATGATAACAAGCACACAAGTCTAGAAACAAAATGAGGGATCTAGAAAGAAATTAGAATTATTCTTAAATAATCGGGTGGCAAACCATTGATCTGTTCATGCAGAATTTCGGATCGATATAATTCCAGAAATTTGAAAATGAATAGAAATACCTCATTAACCGTTAATAAACAAACAAATTACATCTACTATCCCGAGTAACATGAGATATTTGTAAACAGGAATAAACAGTAACAGAAGAAAACAAGAAGCATATTATCAGGGGATCCTGGTTTTCGTGAGATCGTGAACTGATAACTAATCTTCGGTAGACACACCCAGCTCACAGCTCAACTTGAAATCTATGACGACAAAGTCTTGCAATAGACAACCTGATATGTCATGATAATTGTTGAAAAATGATTTTGAATATGCATGTAGTTACTTCTATTTATGCTTTCTTATCAGGATATTCCAGATTTGTGAAATGGAAATACAGTACAGTGTATCAATTTTAGTGGGTTTTTTTCTCCACAAAATAAAGTATGACATGCATTCGAGAAAGAAAACAAATCTCATTAATTTTATCATAACATTTCAGATTACCTGTTATCTGGAAATTAAAAACATTATTTAATGCAGAATATGTAACACATTTGTAACCACATATAAACACAAAAATAGGACATCATCATCACCTTGGTCAAAGTCTGAAACTCAAACAGAAAATGTCAAAACAATACAAATTTGCCAACTTCAGGGTAACAAGAAAACTTACAGCAAATTAAGCAAATTAAGTAAAATACTATTAATAGCTTTATGTTGATTTCATAAGGACTAATATATTAAAGTGAATCATGATCTTCAATTTTTCTGCTTTTATGATTTAAATACTGTATACAAGTCTTTAAATATAACCTGTTACCAGAAAAAGTAAATGTATTCATGATAAAATTCTTTCTTCATTTTATTGTACCATTGCAATTTGTATTTTGTCAATAAATATTTCCAACATATATAGCACAGGAAATAAAATTGTAAGCAATTTTCAGGCACATTTTTTTTTTACATACTACATGTATTAATTATCATTTGAACAAAATAAAATTTCAACCTTTATCATCAAATCTCGAAGATCAATCTATAGCTAATGAATAGCTACATTTACTTACTGTGCAAATCTTCACTTACCGTTTATTTGAAACTTTCAACAAATTGCCTTCATTATATAAATTCTACAATTGTCTTATAAACAGTTACAAAAAGTTCATAAAAACAAAACTAAATACTAAATAAATTATCACTATTTTAACTCTTAAACCATGTTTGTGCTTATGGAATTTGAAAAGTAAAGAAAAGAAAAATTAAAAAACATTCACTCGTGAATAATTTCCAGCAGATGAAACTTTCAAATGCATCAATGAGATATGCAGGATAAAATTGCTTTTAAGGGAAAAGATGGTAACACAAATTGGTACAATATGCATTTATATAGATACAGATACATGTATTTAGGACACACTATTTCAACAAGACAGTGCGGAGGTAAAATACATTTTCTTTGTCCAAATTTTAAAGCCATTATAATAATTTTTCGAAATAGATGTTTTGCAACACGGAAAAGTAATTTTGAAGTTGATATCCTTTTACATCAATCAAGTCTTTTGGAAGTAAATATACAGATTACAATCCATAAATCATTTTGTGATATAATGCTATTTTACCTCAGTGTGAAGACCGATTAAACATGCATGCATCATCAGAACCATTTCCAATATTATAATAATAGTCGAAATCATGTCAGTGAGTACTAAATTGATGTGCAAAAACTTCTCTCCTTTTTTTCCACTTCTCTCTTGGATTCAAAGAATACAGAAAAAAGGTGTATTAATGAACAAATACTTAAAAATTTCTTTAAAATGACCATTGAATTTCTAATGCAGCCATGTTTAGACGGATAATCACTGCCACCATTTCCCTGGGTGCAGAGACAAACAAGTTTGTGACGTTCACCTGTTCGTATTTCTCCAGCTCTGTGTGGTATATCTGTCTAATTTGTGCCAGTTTGGCACGGTAGTCTGAATGCTCTATGGCACTGTCGGGTTGGCCACCGGACGCTGCAGCCGTGGCATTAGCTGCTGCGGATGACCCACCCCCTTTCTCTGGCCCGGCCACACCCTCTGCTATTAACATGTTGTCCAGTCGCATGAGCTGGGGGTCTGGGGGTTCCTCCTCCTGGGAATTCCTTATACTCAGTACTGAAACACACAATACACATCAAGGTCATTCTGGTTGTCAAAAAGGGGAAAGGCATGTACATGTATACTTTATTGAGAAAACATGCATTGCCAGTTGTAAGGTTAGTTAACTGGTCATTGCTTTGCAAAAGTTGGACAAGATAAACAGAACGGTAAAATGCAGTACAGGTCATGGTCAGAATATTCATAGGAGGTCAAGGTCAGATAAGTCACAGAACATTAAGGTCAGAATAGTCGCAAGAGGTCAAGGTCAAAATAATCACAAGAGGTCAAGGTCAAAAGATTTGAAGGTCAGGTACATATAACAAATATATCATAATAATGCATTTATGTTTGAAGGCCTTACCAAAATATTTTCAAAGCTTAAGAAAACAATAAAATTCAAACACAAGGTTAGCATGATAGCATTGTTTAAAAGCTTCTTTAATCATTTATCAGCATCCCCAGTCTGGGAGCATTGAGTTGGCCACAACCCCTCTTTTATATTATAACAAGTATTCAGGTTCACTTGTCATATCCTAATGATTGTAAACGCTTCAATGTTTTCATATTGGAGGATTTCTTTTACACAAAATACCCTACACGTCATTCTGGGGCAGAAGTAGCATTATCAGGCACTATAAACGTTTTTGAGAGGTATGATAATGTGAGGAGTTAATGTGTTCACACCTGGGTGGGAGACGACTTTACAGGTAACGGTTGTGTGATTCTATCACCACCAGCTTATAACAGGGTGACACAGCACATAAACACCATTGTCACATTTACATCACCTTATTGAGTTAAATCATTCCAAACTTTTACATCACCTTTTTAAGTTGATCATTAATATTATACACATTTATATCACGTTGTCAAGTCGACCATTTCAAATTTTTACTTCACTTATTGAGTTGATAATCACAAATATCTTGTCTTATTCTTCGTAACATTTACGTTGACATATTAAGTTTATCGTAAGCTGTTAATGGGATGTTAAACCCTATGAAACCAAACCATTAAATATTCACATTACCTGAAGTTTACCATTCGAAACATTTAAATAGTTTTATGGAGTTTACTTAAGTAATAAACACGGTATACATCCGAAGACTTTTTTATGTTTACAAAAAAAAGGTGTGTATTTAAAGTGTATTTAATAATCGTGAATATCTCATGGTCCTGGACTTCAAATATATTCATGTTAAGTACTATTAAAATGTTGATTTTTCCACAATTGCTAACCAAAGACCTTGTCTGGCTCCTCATACAGGTGCAAGCTCCTACTTTTAACGACACCATGACAAGCCAGCCAGCCAGCCAGCCAGCCAGCCATGACCATGGATTTGACAGAAACCTATTTTGACAGCTCAACCAAAGCTATTGGGAGACATTAATTTTGACATCCTGATACATCAAATTCCCAACAAATAACACGGAGATAAGAAAACGCTTCGCTAGTATATTATCACCTGGAATTTCATAACCTTGTTTTCCTTTTTATTGTTATTTTCTTCTTTGATATCTTTTTTTCCGCTTTAAGTGAAACGTTTAATTAGTGAAATTTATCACCGTGCACGAGTCATAACACATTGTGATTATGGAGTGATGTATCGTATACAGACCCTGCCTCGGTGAGTCTGTGCACATGTAAAATAGAATATGTCTTAAAACAATTCAGCACACATCACATACGAACCAGTAATATTATACAACCATGAACCTTACAACTAAAACTTACAGAAAACATGCAGCTACCTTAAACCATATTAATACATCCATGTATATCAAAACGCTTGCTTCTTAACCAATACAAAACAGTACCGAAATACTCGACAATATAAGCGGCGCTACTGTGGCGCAAAAACTCAAATTTTCATCCTCATTTTTAACATTACCCCTCGAGCTCCCCGGTACTTGAAATCAGAAGGATTAGTCTAAACATCTTCACTTTGCTCAAATTGAATTAAATGCAGAACATCTTAAACTATGGCATCAAATGCTTTTATTATAAAACAGGGGATTGATTTTAATTATTTGTTGGATTTTATCACATGGTTTTTCCCTCCAATGAAAAATTTGAAAGATTGGCATAATTGTCTACACATCGTACTCTACAACATATCATCTGTATACTGAAATAAAGAACTCCATATCACTAGAACTGGTCGAAAATATACAACTGTCAAAGTGTATTGTAAGAAACATTTTATATCAATTTCCTCTAAATATATAACAATAAAATATTTCTTGTATTGAAAAAACAGCTTAATATAAAGAAATCAAAATAATCAATTTTATCTAATGTATTTACATTTTCTAATAGATTTATTTATAACAAGACCAAATTAAATGCAACTGCACATAGAATTGTTTTTATTTTCCCAATAAATCTGTGTACTTTTCTCAAATCAACAAAGCCTCTACATATGAAACAGATTTATTCTCCAACACGTGCACTGTATGCCAACCATATCAAACCACCAGCTACTAGATCAGCAGCACACATAAGACTCGTAACTCACATTAAATGAATTTAATTCAATCTTCGTTTCAGAACCCTGTTCACCCAAAATCGATACAAGTGTAGCGCAGTTGCCATCAATCACTGTCACATCTTCTCGTCAAACGCTCCTTGGATCCAGATCGAGACTTTTATTGCGTATTAGACTCCCCGTCCTTCCAAATTTAATCAATAAGAAATAGCATCTCTACAGACTGGTTTGCTGTGAAAACCCATGTCCCAGTTAACAGGGTCTCAATTTAGATGCGAACGACTCGTCAGAGCGCCGGAGATTTGGAGCACGCCTTCTACAATTGCATACATACATCTACGGGATACAAATCCACAAAACTCCCCAATCAATAATTAAACCTGCAGGCCATCTAGATCTCAAACCTGTTTCATCTACAACGCGAATATTAATTCAAAATAAAAGCGACCTGTCAAATAGTCGACATACATATTTTAATTTGAGGTCACTCTCATACTCTCAGAAATTAAGTTACAGGTCAACAATTTTTCCGTACTTTTAATTAAATAATACATCTAAATATTATGATGTTCTATTTTTTTATTTTTAACAGTTCGAGTCAGAAGCTTTAAGGCCCATTCATGAAAGTGTATTATATTTGATCCAAAGAAACGAATTGGTTCCATCCCTCTTCTTTTACATGTATAAATATATATCAGTATATGGGGCAAAGAAGTAATTCCAACAGTGTGGACAAGTTTAGGTTGTCAAATTTTCGGAGCGATCCGCTCCTTTTTCAAGACACAGTCATGAAACAGAACAGTAACATGTACATATACATCATATTACAAGAAAATAGAATTGATATACATGTACTATAATTGAAAATATACATATAGCTATTATATAAAACCAATAGTCCCCTCTGCTAAAGACAGCCGAAGGCAGTAAATATCAGTATATATGTACTTGACATGTATGGGTTTTCCTGCACCCCTTTTTTGCCTCCAAGAAACATGGACCTATTCCCCTTAAAATTTAAGATGAATTTCTTATCTTATCAGTTGAAATTCCCAAAATTTCGCATCATTCCACATAATAAAATGTGATTTTATATTTTTTCAAAATCTTAGTCTAATATATTACCGACCCAAAAGACAACACACTAAATCATGAAGATTCCATTTTGTGTGTGATATTTCACCCATTTACAGTACAAATTATACTTTTCCTGTTCCATACACGGACCACTGGCCATGGCCTGATTACATTGTTCAGTAAAATTCCCAGCTGACATATATATACAATGCATTTTGAAAAACCAGGATTTTTTTAAATTGACAAAACATTTGTGACAAAGTACTTCAGATCCAGTACCAGTATCGAAATAAGTGATCAAGATAAAAAGAACTTCCAAATAGCAAGCATCACAAAGATTTCCACAAGGACTGTCAGTTAATACCTAACCTAGATATACAATTGTCCAAATTTAAACAAGCTATGTCAAACACAGTTTTATGCTACAGAGATTACGAAAGTTCAATACAATTCTTTATCACATAATGTACTGCGTTATCCAGTGAATATATCCATGTCATATTTGTTTGCGTATTAACCCATGTACTATGATGACCTATCAACCCTGCAATCGGTTGTAAGTTAGTACATGACGTCAGTCTTACGCACTGGAGTCAAAATGGCGGCTTTTTACATTTCAAGGTTGCATGAAGATTCTCGTTTTACACGAATAAATGCCACAAATCTTGATTATGTGATAAAAGGACCTTACACTCACTAATTTTTCATTTTAACTCGCCTGAACTGAAAAATTCTTAAGACTCTCATATATATGAAATGGAAACTCCTGTAATATAAGATCCTATATATACTAAAGCTATTCTGTATATATATTTTTAATAAGATAAAACCGGATCATGTCGTAATTGCGTTTCCCCTGTACAGTAAAGCATATCACCATGGCGTCTTTATACATGCTGCATGTAGTATAAGAAAGCTTTAGCGTTGCTTTCTCATAAATATTTGTTTAAAAAAAAAACTACACTGAAACCCTTATCAAAGTGTTCGTAAATCAATTTCTTGACAGATGACCTAAAATCTCGTGCTGAAAACAGGAAGTGAAGAAAACAGCGCCCGTGTAAAATCAATATTTATTCCTCCTCCATCCCTAACTGCATAATTAAAGTTTGGCGGGAACCAAGGCAGATTACCAAACAAGAAAATTTGAAGACAAGCAATGGATGGCGTTGTCAGTTTGAAATTGGAATCTATGGGCAATATATAGTCATACATCAAATCGAAATATTGCTCAGTAAATAAAGGCAAAACTAAACTCGCTTCAGTCAGTTTACTGTAGTTTAACAACTGGACTTTGCTTCTCCATATTATTCTTACCAATACCTTTGCTTTAATACATTTTTATTTTAAAAATAAATTTGAGCATTTATACTTATTATTGATATATTGACTGCTTTTTCATTGTAAACAACAGTTCATTTTCTATTACTTTCATTACCAAAACCAATCAAAATGCCCATATTTCTTATGGCGTGATAACTACATCTATAATCTTTTTTCCTATGCCAGTCTTTTCCTAATTTAAATCTATTTAAATATCCATTAATTTTTAATTTTTTTAAGTAACAATGGTAGCTGTCCAACTACAGATTTTTATTTTATTTTACATACAAACCGCAAATATATGACAATAAATTTGACATGGACATTTAATACCTTCATCAAGAGGCACAGTCTGCTGCGAAATATACAATATCTACACCTAATTAGTTTAAAACCAGAACCCAAGTTGTCCTGATCAATGGCAGAAGTATATGTACTATAGCTATATATATATATATTTAGTGGCACCAACGCCTACCAACAGACCATGGCCAGGTTATTCAGTATATATCAAATATATATCATAATATAACTTTGGAAAGAAATACTTGACACAAATTCTGCAAAAGATTTTATGCATATTGTTTATATACTATAGAGCAAAATAACAATAGCACTCTTTCTATTAATTAAAAATTGAAAAAGATATATTTGTCATAATCAACCCAGAATATATATATATCGGTCTATACGCTGTCAGTCAAACGTGTGTTCAATGTCCTGTCAATCTGTCGCAGATACTTGATGATAAAGTAAACAATAGTTATAAGTTTATAGATCTAGACCAGTAACTGAACACAATTATAAATCATGCATTTATTAAATGCACTCTAGGATAAGTTTACACGGAACAATTATATTTGAACTATAACAGTATGATGAAATTTAATCATATTTTCCGCATATATACCGCCTGTATGATGCTAAGATGTAAAATATACAATTTTCCTTAACAATTCATGTATGCAAACAAAGACAGTTTTTCTCTAAAAATTCAACACATGCATACATGTCAGATTCGCAAGAAATCTGTAAAGAATGAAAACTATCAACAGCAGGCTGTATTTAATTGCTTATAAACATTCAATAATAACAGCATTTCAACATACTCAAGTTCTTTTTATCAACGCTCTTCAATTTGAATTACAAATAAAGATACATTGAAATTTATTCTGCATTTGTTTAAACATCACTATAAGTGACCCAAAAAAAATCAGTTTTTGTTTTTTCCTCTACACGTATATCCTTATCTTGTTTGGCCAGTTCTTAACCAGCACTGTAATGGTCAGAGGACTGTTCAATATAAATAAAATCCCTTTATGTTTCTTCTATCTGCCTATCCTATTTATATTTTTATAATTTTTAAAAGCTAAAGCAGAAATACAATAATTATTTTGTTTGGACTCATAGAAAGTAAAGGTTATTTTATACAGTGCCATCATTCATATTATACATATATATGCAAATTTACATGCACAAAATTATGCATATAGATGTACATAAACTATATTATTATCATTTTAATCAGTACATTCACCTTAAAGCTTTATCCTTCGAGGAAGAAGGGGTCTAATAATAGATATTTTATTATATTTTAGTGTCTGACAATTATGGCCAAAAACGTTACAAAGTAAAGGTATGTAACAATTATGAATTTTTAATTACTGATATTAAATATTACTGTCTCTGAATGTAAATTATAATTTCATACAAACCATTAATATATATTTTTATAAGAGCGTATGAGACACAAAGGGAGAACAAGAATGTGTATTGCCTCAGATATGTTTCCCTTTTGAGCAGCTTATTTAAAATTCATATAATTAATGAAACATACCAAATATGGTATTGGTTTTGTTAAATGGTATAACTTCAATCAAATAATACTGTTTACCAAAGAACAATGTTGCACAATCGCAACTCCGTTTTATATAATGTATAAAAAACAATGTTGCAACTTTGTGTTGTTATTAACAACAATGTTGAATTATAAACACAAATGGCAACTTATACTTTTTCATGGACCCAATATTCAACAATATTGATTCATGATAACGCTCCACGATAAAGAGAAAGTAAAACGTCACAACGCAAAGGACTTGTGTATTACAAGATGAAGGAAAGACAACTTCGGAAGCTCACCCGTTTTTTCTTTGATTTCGCATAACACACTGAATAATGCAGGTTTCATTCGATGACAGTTCAACGTGTGTTTTCTGAAAAATTATAAAGATTGGACACATCATTAATTTGCATATTCCAATTGGGCATTGAGAATTACGAGAAAAATACATGCATATCTTTCTGTAATGGTTAAATGGGGGGTAAAATTGAGAAATTCACAGAAGGGATATATCTGTAATTCATGTACCGGCACCTTGCTTGCGCTTCATCTAAACTTTGGTCAGTTATCGTCATTATTTGTTGCAAAATGTCACCGATTTCCTGTTTTCGTTGTTCTGAAGGTTCTTGTCCCGTAGGTTGTAGATTATACTGTTGAATCATATTTTCGGGTGCTGACATACTAACAGCTCCTTGTTGCGGATGCATTACGCCGAGCCTTTGTGTATCGTCCATGATGATGACACAACGGAATTATTCCTTCCACTGAAGTTTAAACATGGAAATTAATTACGATGTTAATCCAAACACATAATCCGATTGTATGTCACAGTTTCCATAAAGCACAAATTCCTAAACAGTTCCGTAAAGTTGGGAGGGCTTCGACACTCTGCCAGTCAAATTCCCTCAAAACAGAAATGGCGGCTCGACAAGCGTGAAACTAACTTGATTCTTTCCCGTCTATGGGCCATGAACCAATGAAATGTCTCAAAGTATCTACTCGGCAATCTCCGGTGGGTGATTGCGATCCGGATATAAATACTGACCAATGAATAAGTGGGATTTAGTGACCGACTCTTCACGCCCTTGACGAAGATTGACAGCTCGGAGAGATGTTGATTAGGTAGACACAATAATTGTGAGGCACCTTGGGGGTCCTGGCATTCCACTCAGAGCACCCCACGGGGCAAATTAACTCCAATTAACAGGTATAAAAGACGGACTTATATCTAACCCGAAGACATTATGAAAGGCATATTCGATATAATTGAAAGATTGAAACGATTAAGAGCAATAAAGAATATAACCGGAGGTCAAGTACGTCTACAATATTGGAGATACTTTAAAACCCTCTGGAACTGAATAAAGGTTTCTGATTATGTAATATCTATATTTCACTAATGGGGCATTAAAACACTTTAGGATGTAATTCAGTGAAAGACCATAAAGGAAATAGATGATATTAATTCCTTGACATTCATTTTAGGTTTAGGAGAAGGTGCTTTAATTTTTCTGTTAGAAATTTATACATGTCCTGGGTTTGAAATAATTGCAGTGTTTGATTTTCTTCATTATCCAAAAAATACTCAGCTCAAGTTTTATAATCGAGGCATTTAAATAGAATTAAAGACATAAAACTAATAGGTTAATTCAAAAATCAGAGATAAAACTTCATCAGTCACAAAACTCCGAATGCGTCCAAATCACCTTCGAAAGTCCTAACCTTGTTATTAAATTGCATTAAAAAGTTAAATACGATCATTTAAATTTAATGTCTGTAAATGATGTTTGGGCTATAATGCCGCACAGCTCTAGTGTTTAAACAAACACTGGTGTAACCACCCAGCGTATGCAAATCTCGTGCATTTCCTCACTTGCTTACCATCCGAACTTGAGCACTGGCCATGGAATATGAATATTATTTTTGTATCCTGCTTGAATATTTATTTTTACGTACATGACTTCTTATGAATACTCATTTACATAGCGATTCATTTCAGATACGGAATTAAACCAAACACATTTTAACTGGCATTATACATTATGTAGATAAGCCAGTTAATACTTATTTAAGCAAGGTTAGTGATTGGTAGGAATGTAAAACTGGTAAAAAAAATATATATAAAGTTTGCAGTTAATAAACAAAAATATTCATACAAATGTGAAATTATTTATAGTTGGATAAGAAATATTACTAGGAATATTGAAAAAACCCGTTAGGGGAATCGAAATGATTCTACTAATGTAATTGGAAAACGCTGTGTTACTATGTGGACACGCGTGTGTAACAATTAGACTTTACAGTATGAAGATATTTTAAATTAGCATGCTTCACATTAATTGAAATTATAATCCATTCAATAATACGCTCTAGTTTGATAAGCATAACGCAGTTATTCCCCTTCAGTGATTCATGTTCCGCATTGTAAGCATTTTGTGTTGTGTTATCTAAGTCCGTGCTATACCAAAATGTTATTGGGGAGACCGGGGGCCATTCTATTTTTTCATCGTAATGTTCAAATGCGGTCAGTGTGGCTTCACAGTAGTTGATTGCGATGTCAAAAACGTTGCTGTTATGTGCAATTTTGCTAACTATTTTTTGACAGCGAAACTACGAAAATAAATACTCGAAATAACGAAAATATCAAGTAGCTGTTTAGCGACCAGACACAACTCGCCCACCTAATTATTGTTTTTTTGTGTGTGCTAAGTTATGATAATCTTCGTTATGTCGCCCGCGAATTTTCATTACTTCGTAACGTTATTTCATAAAGAAGATACATGTTCTTCTGAGGCGAAGTAACGATATTAGCGGAGTTAAATATGTTCAGTCGCTAAACTATTGTGGCTGATATGTGCGATTTAGTTATTTTGCAGCGAATATTCATCGTACCGTCTTTCGCTCCTTAAATTGTCTTTTCGCGGGTAAATAACGAAACTTCGCCCCGCTTATATTATCGCTCAGCCTGGAAATAATAGATAGCGGGCGACATTACAATAATTCGCGGGCAAAATATATAGGGATATTATAAAGCAACATTTCTTGTTTTTGTTATTTCGCATAAGATTTTACGTTGTTGCGTTTATTCCTACGAAAATGACAATGATAAGCAGGACAAAAAGAGGATAAATATCTGCAAAATAACAAAAATGCTCATATCACTGACTGTAGTTTAGCGCGGACTAACATATATATTTTGTCCCGCTTATATCGTTATTTCGCCCGAAAAGAACAATAAACTTCTTCATGATGCCCTGCTAATTGTTATGGAGAATTAATGTGATAATCGTTATCTCTTTTTGTCGTCACGCTTACTTGATTGTTGTTATTTCGGGGCGAGAGATCGATTATATTCGATGCTTGTTACAACAGCCCCCTCCCCAACGAAGTTGGTCGGGGAAAATTCAAACGGATTATGTTAGTCTGTCAATTGGGGTTTCAGGTATTTAATCAAAATATCATTCAAAATATCTTTGTGAGTCATTGAATGCACATCATTCCAGTAGTGATTTAGAGCCTTTTACTCCGACATCCTGTTACCATGGAAACAAATGGTCAAAAAGCAAACTGCGTATCTCAAAATCGGTAAAAATTAATTCACCAAACTTTCTATTTATATCAGTCTAGATGTATAGAAGTGCCTTTTACAATTCATATGATTGCATTTTGAATATTTTCTCTGTTACCAGGTTTCAAATGACAAAAAAAAAGAAATTCAAACTTTTTTGTGGAGCATATCTCAAAGACACTTCAAGATATGTAATTAAATCAAGCAGTCAAATCGTGCCTTTAGCTATGAGTGAGTTTTCGTTTTCGATATTTTCTTGTTACCATCCAAACAAATACCCCAAATTTGCTGTTTCTAGTGCTTATCTCTAAAACCATTCAGGATTATCAAGCTGCTCGGCCTGACACAATGCTGTTTCAACTATTAGTTAATAACCACACGAAGCAAACTCATCAAACCATAACCAAGCTACATATTATGGGATTTTCACATTCATGGTTGACAATGGTAAATCATGTCTAATTATGTGACGAAATGATCTCATTCCTTGGTATGTTGTCCTGTAAATTATTGCTATTTCAATGCGAAATAACGATAATTTTCGTTATCTCGTCCGCTATTTATTTAATATGTTGCCCCGCTAAAAAGTCACCTGAACGGAGTGAGGGACCTACGGTTTTTGCTGCATTTCTTCCTCTTCTTCTTCTTCTTCTTCTACTTCATGAAACATGGCCTCTAGATATCTGATTAATACATTTATGGGTGTATGCCAAGGTGATGCCATTTGTCCCCCTCTCTAAGTCTGATTTTGCTCAAAATTAGTATGTATTTGCGACTAAAGCAATCGGTATGTCGTCCCGCTGATTATCTTGATAAAACTAGTATATAAACGTCCTTTAGGTTACACTCCTGATGTTAAAGTTGCTCTGCCGATAGCAGAATATTTAGGATGATTGATATATAAAACCTTCTCAAAATACAAAGACATATGTAAGAAACCGTGAAAATTATCTAGTTGTTCTTTTCCAATGTCGGACTCACTAATAGTTTACATCCAGTATCGGAATCGAGGTGGGAGAAGAAGTATCCCCTTTTCTTATATCTCAATGACCGTGAGAGCTTTCGTCGGTATGTTGTTTTACATTGTTGAAAACATTATCTAAGAACACGGCGATGTTTTGTCAATTTGTTTGCCATTCTATAGTCAGAATTATGTCAAAGGGATCAAAGGAATTAACTTGCTTACTTTATTGTATTAATATTTTTCAAAATTTGAATTGAATAAAGGAAGGGAAAGGACATAATCTTTCTTTTTTAATATGATGAATAGCTTTTCAAAGTCGTCAGTTTGAATTGATATATAGACCTAACGATCAAACTCCAATGAAAACACTACTCCTGAACAATAGGGAACACATCCTCCAGCATCAGTGTAGAAATATCAGTGCGAGCAGAGGCGATTGATTGATTGTTGTCCGCTTCACTACCGAGTAGTTCGGTTATCCAGCAGACGGAGAAAAGACGGGAAAATGAGTAGAAGGGATAAAGTATGGAGTGAAGGAATAGAAAAGGCAGACAGGGAAGAGCAGAGACGTTTATACTGCTGGCTTTTTATGTCTCTCGTGGGAGCTCGTGACCTCAGGTCAAGGTTCAAGACTTACCTGGTCTAAAGACGTAACATAGTCTCTGTCTTTCTCTGATGTTACCTGACCTTATATAATCTTATTGTTCTAATGTCACAGTGTAGTGGTCACCCCTGTTACTAGAGAGTGGACTGTATCATTGTACCTAAATTCTGATAACGTAATTTTAGACACCGATGTTGTTATTTCAAAGGTATAGAGTCTATTTTTTTTGGATGGATTTACCTGTATTTTTCGACTGAAAGAATTTTAGTTTCTTTTTGCAAAGTGACGGTAGAGGCTTGATTTGAAAAAGAGTTTGTTGTCAAGCTAGATACAGTATCAGGAGGGAGTTTATTCCACTCGGATATAGTTCGAGGGAAGAAAGTTTCTTTTCTAGACAGAGTTTTAGAGAAAGGAATTTGGAAAGAGAGTTTGTTACCATACCTGGATTTTCTGACCGGGGAAAAAGTCTGTAAGATTTGCAACAGCAACGTTAGAAGAAGAGCATCTCTACGTCTATATGATAGGGAGCGCAATTTTAAGTGACCCAACATTTCAGATACACTTGAGATAACTTAAAATAAAAGATTTAACAAAAAATACAGAAAGAATATATCTAACTCCATCTTATTCCCTCGCTGACAATTGGGACTATTTCGGGACTTAGTTTAGTCAGAGACGTATATATAACAATTGTAATATATACGTCTCTGGTTTAGTTAGTCCGCTAAAACTGACCATGTTTTAGCGGACTATGGTTTTGTCAGCGATGTATAATCTTTTATTCAATAATAAAAATCATGGACTTTCTAATCATATATAGTATTCCGTGGTAGACAATGTATTGAGAGGGTTCTTATAAGAAAAAAATAGACGAAACAGTTTAGTTGTTGATAGCCCTAGTAAGTAGTTTGAGACTTTCACATATACTTGTATCGTGTGCCTCCAGCCCCGGTCCCAGTGATCTCAGCTGTCATGTCGGGCACCTCCGCCAGCAAACTGTGTGTTGAAATGGATAAAGTTAGAGGTGTTCCAATACATCTGACATGTCAAAGTAAAACCACAATGTATTCCAAACGCAATTCAACGGACTCACGTGTTTTTGTTTACGTAACTGTAGATAATCTGTCACGTGAGTTTAGTTACATTAAGTGCATATTTATGTCAGCCGATATGAGAGCAAGTTGTATACAGTAAAGGTAAATATTTTATGTATGAGACACATGAATGTCTAGATCACGTTTTGCCATGTAAGAAATGTATATGTGTTGTGTAGTTAGATTATCTAAGTCCGTGGTACTAGCCTAGAACCACGGACTTAGATCACATGACTTCCGTGTTCATGCGAGGGTATATGCTACTGATAGGCTGACATATATGCATAACAGAATCTATTCGAATCTCCTACTGTTAGAGATTAGAGTTCTACATAACGTTTCACTTGATATGTTCTCAAACACCCAATGGAAGATGTTTTTAATTGACATCAATTTGTCTGACCACAGACTATCTCCTTTAAAAAAAAAAGAATATTACTATCTACGTACCATCATTTTTATTAAAGGAAATGGTCAGCTTTTTTGGTCTAAAGACTTTAGGGTAAAGTACATCGAGTCTTACATATTATTCTGAGAAATGCAAAAAATACTGCTCAACCCAGAGACTAGCCCGAGTTTCCTCTAGCCCTGACACCAGACTTAGACATTTTGACAGATAGATGTCCGGTATGTGTTGTGTCATAGTTGATTTTTGTTGTCAGCACCTCAAAACTCTCTGATACCAAACAGTGTCAGAAGAGAATTCCACGTTTTCATATAGCAGTGCGTTCTGGCCCCACACCAGACATCTATATCTGTCAAAATGTCTAAGTCTGGTGTTAGGGCCAGAGGAAACTTGGGCTTATATATACCCAATGCAGAGACATGTAAAGCCAGATAATCCCGTAGTATAGACATCTCTGCTCAACCTGACTGTTCAGGGTTGTCTGTAAGGGTCTGTTCTTGGATAAGACAGCCTAATACTAATATTAATACCCGGCCTCCTCTGCATATATAAAAAAAAATCTCTCGTCATCAGAAAGCTACGCTATCGCAGCTAAAGACAGACCAGCTAAGGATAATTGACAGAACCTCAAGTCCAATTTCTAAACAGCTTGAAAGTTCTCCAAGAATCTGTCTGATCTTGCTTTAATAATGGTCACACTAGTCCAAAATAATTATCTCCTTTCAAATTTTTTCCATTGGACGGAGATTTTCATCAAAAATTTTGAAAGGAGATATAGTCAGTTATTTCAGACTGGCGTCACTCCAAACACCTAGCACTTTCAACCTACTCTTTGAGTTTAGTTTAGGCCCATATGCATTTCCTCCATGGAATCACTAACCCGAACAGGCCTCCCATTTGACTAGTTATAGCTGATGTCACCTTACATCTAGTTAAATTGCCCTTTTTGGACTGGAGTCCCCATTGTGACTCATTTCCGGGGACTATAGTTGTGTTAAAGCTGCAGGCTACCGCTATGGTTTCCTCACCTCCCATAGTCAAGTCCAGTAAATATTTTGCCACTAAACATTCCAAGACAGAGTTGGGTGGATTCCATTTTGAGTTGTCCCCCTTGGTCTTGCATTTGTGTCTTTTGGCAGTTCAGACTGGTTAGCCCTGAGTCAGGTTCTTGTAGAGCACACTGTAAGTGTTAGGATGTATAAATATAAGTTAAAATGTACTATGTACCATTATAATGAAGTTACTGTGTACCAGTATAACTTGGGGTGTTAAGATTTAAAAAAAAATACAAATAAAGGATTGTAAGAATTTGTGGCAAAACATACATTTAAAACAAATATGAACTGACCGAATTACGTTTCTTTTGCAGGAACAGGAGTTGTGACCTATTCAACAGAGGAGGAAAAAAGGCTGAAACATTGTATCTTACCATGCTCCACTGACGTGGTTTCATCTGCTGTATTCACGCTTTAGGTGTTTAATGAGATAACGAGTACAGAGAGAAAATTGTAAGGGTCACGGAAGTAGTACATCTCATTAGCTTTTAAACTAATTTACCAATAAATGCTTTTATATGTATATTTTGTTAAAGACATCAGTATTTGTTAATCACTAGTTTGGTTGTCTCCCCTGATTTTTTGTTTCCGTGTAATCTGCCCTCCACACTGATTGATCGGTAGTTCTCTGAACAGAAACTGACCCAATTTACCATTGAATAAACTTATGAAAACTGTTTATCTAGGGATGTATCCCCTTTGTGTTGTTTTCATTAGATGAATTTGGATAAGAATCATTTTGCTGCCAATGTACGTCTGTTGCAGTTTTGGAAATATTCATTTGTATTAAGTATTACACAATTAGTTTCATTAGCTATTTATATTATGAACAAGTCCATGTTTTAATCTGTGTTTGAATTTTAGATGAGTGGCGTAAAGAATGGCGACAGTATGTGTATTCTGATCATTTAGAACATTTTAGATGTGATCTGGTGTTTTATGTATGAACAGAACTTACTGAGAATGTTTAATGATTTATAATGATGAAGTATAACATCATTATTATCACAGTTGGCAGAAGGAAGGAACCGTCAACTAAAACCATGACATCATCGGCACGCAGAGATGGAGATGGAAGTCATATTAAATATGAAATCCTCCACCAAGGTTTGTCATTGATGTCGTGCTTAGCTAACACCCGATATGACTAACACCTAACATTACCTAAAACCGATAGCTTTTTGTTGTGCAACCTTTCTTTCTATTTGTTTAGCAATATTTCTGTACTAACATTGCTCATGTTTCTTTGTAATAGAAATAAAACCTGTTATTTTCCTGTTGACTGTTTTTTTCCTTATTCTGTTTTTATACGCCTGTCAAATTGACGGGAGTATTATGGTATGGCATTGTCCGTCCGTCCATCCGTCCGATGTAAACTTTTGTTTGTCCAGCAATCTCCTCCTACATTTTTCGAACGATCTCTTTGAAACTTGGTATACATTATAATCATGATATGAAGTTGTGTCTCCCTTAAAAGAATTTTGATTCGACAATTTTTCCAAATTTTATTGCATTTTGTTCATTTTAGTATTTGATTTTTGTCCGGCAATCTCCTCCTATATTTTTCAACCGATCTCTTTGAAACTTAGTAGGCTAAATAATCATGATATGTTGTTGTGTTTCCTTGAAAAAGAATTTTGCTTCGACAATTTTTCCAAAACCTCTTGTTGGTTTTGCTGTGCATGCCTTTTATATTACCATTGCTTAAGAATTGGGAATATCTATTTATATTCAGTTCACCGCTGCTTTTCTGCATGCTTTGCATGAAGTTTACATTTCATCTTTACCAGAATGGAATCGAATAATCTAAATCAAACTGGAGTTTAAATAATTTCTATCAAATTAGAGTTCAATTAATATCTATCAAATTAGAGTTCAAATAATATCTATCAAATTAGAGTTCAAATAATCTCTTATCAAATTAGAGTTCAAATAATTTCTATCAAATTAAAGTTCAAATAATATCTATCAAATGAGAGTTCAAATAATATCTATCAAAATAGAGTTCAAATAATCTCTATCAAATTAGAGTTCAAATAATTCTATCAAATGAGAGTTCAAATAATTTCTATCAAATGAGAGTTCAAATAATCTTTATCAAACTTTAGGTCAGATAATCATTATCAGACTTGAATTAAGGTAGTCTTTATTGAAAACATATCAGATTAACAATTCAAACACAACCAGAATTCAGCTTTGTTAATTAAAAAGTAAATTCTAACGTTATTATTGCATGAATCTAACATCTTTTTCTTTTAACATTAATGTATGTTGAATATAAGGTAATATTAGGAACTTGGGTAATGTTGACATTTGTAAAATTCTGATAGCAGGTAGTTACCTAAATACCATTGAAATATTCGGATACACCATATAACGTATTTGATGTTGAGAAAAACTTGGACGAATTCTGGTAAGATCTTGAGTTGGAGTACGATCATACAGCGCCTTATATATAGGCTTATTTTATTTTTACCACAATGAATTTTATTTTTACCACGATGAATTTTATTTTTACCACAATGAATTTCAAACTTTATTNGCCTCTATTCCGTCTTTGCGTATTGCAGAGTTATCTTCTCTTGTGAGCAGGTATTGATTGTTACGTCATTGGTTTGTGAGAATAACGTCATCAATTTTTGAGAAAACGACGTAACTTTCTCGCACAAACCAATGACGTAACAATCAATACCTGCTCACAAGAGAAGATAACTCTGCAATACGCAAAGACGGAATAGAGGCAGCAATGCCTACATCCTCTAATATCCTATTAAATCCTATTAAATAACAGATGATATTAGCCAAATAATGCCAGTGGGGACTTATTTTTGCCTCCAAAATTGAATGACTCTCTGTAAAGCAAGGAAATCTCTAAAAATATATAGTTACATAAACGTTCCTGCTCCAAATCTACATGTGTTTGATAGGTGAATGTTGAACATTTCAGTGTCTTATTTTGGATAATTATATTAAACAGTGTTTCAAGACATATTTTATTTCCACATGCCTTACATTGATACACCACAACATCATGTAGAAAACATATCTATTTAAAATAAACTCTATTTATTTTACAACAATTATGAAACAAGTTACTTCAACTTAAATTAATCACTCTTTTTGGCCCGGATGTTAGGGCACGCGAGGGGGTCTTATTGTAGGAGGATACCTTAGAACCCGGAGAAAACCCACGTCGTCGGGCAGGTGACCCCATACGTCTGATCATACCCCGGCCACCTTGGTGAAAGGCAAATGGGCTATCCACTGCACCACCCAACCTCTATTTCATGCTCTTGCAATCATACTATCCAATCAAACATTTGTATAATTAACAGTTTCTGTGGCATCAGTTATAATGGATATATAAAATATAGAGTTTCTGTGGTGTTGGCAGTACAGGATTTATAAAATAAAGAGTTTCTGTGGTAATGGCAGTATGAGATTTATAAAATATAAATTTTCTGTGGTATTGGGGTATGGGATTTATAAAATAAAGAGTTTCTGTGGTGTTGGCAGTATGGGATTTATAAAATAAAGAGTTTCCGTGGTGTTGGCNGTATAGGATCTATAAAATAAAGAGTTTCTGTGGTGTTGGCGGTACAGGATTTATAAAATATAGAGTTTCTGTGGTGTTGGCAGTACAGGATCTATAAAATAAAGAGTTTCTGTGGTGTTGGCAGTATAGGATCTATAAAATAAAGAGTTTCTGTGGTGTTGGCGGTACAGGATTTATAAAATATAGAGTTTCTGTGGTGTTGGCAGTATAGGATTTATAAAATAAAGAGTTTCTGTGGTGTTGGTAGTATGGGATTTGTAAAATATAGAGTTTTTGTGGTGTTGGCAGTGTGGGATTTGTAAAATATAGAGTTACTGTGGTGTTGGTAGTGTGGGATTTATAAAATATAGAGTTTCTGTGGTGTTGGTAGTACAGGATCTATAAAATATAGAGTTTCTGTGGTGTTGGTAGTATGGGATTTGTAAAATATAGAGTTTCTGTGGTGTTGGCAGTACAGGATCTATAAAATAAAGAGTTTCTGTGGTGTTGGCAGTACAGGATTTATAAAATATAGAGTTTTTGTGGTGTTGGCAGTATGGGATTTATAAAATATAGAGTTTTTGTGGTGTTGGTAGTATGGGATTTGTAAAATAAAGAGTTTTTGTGGTGTTGGCAGTATGGGATTTATAAAATATAGAGTTTCTGTGGTGTTGGCAGTATGGGATTTATAAAATAAAGAGGTTCTGTGGTGTTGGTAGTATGGGATTTGTAAAAAATAGAGTTTTTGTGGTATTGATAGTATGGGATTTGTAAAATAAAGAGTTTTTGTGGTATTGGTAGTATGGGATTTAAAAAATATGGAGTTTCTGTGGTATTGGTAGTATGGGATTTAAAAAATATTGAGTTTCTGTGGTATTTGCAGTATGGGATTTATAAAATATGAAGTTTCTGTGGTATTTGCAGTATGGGATTTATAAAATATGGAGTTTCTGTGGTATTTGCAGTATGGGATTTATAAAATATAGAGTTTCTGTGGTGTTGGTAGTATGGGATTTGTAAAATATAGTGTTTTTGTGGTGTTGGCAGTATGGGATTTATAAAATAAAGAGTTTCTGTGGTATTGGCAGTATGGGATTTATAAAATATAGAGTTTCTGTGGTATTTGCAGTATGGGATTTATAAAATAACGAGTTTCTGTGGTGTTTGCAGTATGGGATTTATAAAATAAAGAGTTTCTGTGGTATTGGCAGCACAGGATTTATAAAATATAGTGTTTTTGTACATCTGGTTGAGCATTAATAGATATATAACTTCCAATTTTTACGGAAGCTTCACAAGATTCGTGTTGGTTTTATCAAACAGTGCAATGTATGATGGTGAATAGCGATCCTACAGTGTACTAATTTGAAGTTAGATTATTCCGACACATATCCTGTTTACAAAGGTCCAGACGGAGTTGTCAGCTTGAATGTGTTACTTACAAATTAAAAGCAGTGTCCTATAACTAGTAGGAAATCCATTATGGTTATTTACCTATTAACATGAACAAGGCTTTCTATTTCTGTATTATTATTTAAAAGCATTATAAAGTTATGAAGCAAACACTGAATTTTAACACTACATTTAGGATTGATGTGCAGGTAATAAACAATGAGTTGACCAATGAGAAAGATGTTTACATAATCAAGCAGTTGATCTGTCCCATATAAAGTTTTGGTGGACCTGCCGGTTCATGTTTCGAGTACGATCAGACATTTCAGCAGCTAAATTTGCTATGACAACTGTTGTTGACACACCTAAGAAGAACCATGAACTGCACTTCAATACTTACATTGCGCCATGTCCAGGTAGGGCAGGTCCCAACTTCTGTTTTCTTACTGAAATCAAGTCATCACTTATCTTTTAAAAGTTTCTTACTTCTTAAGTTAGATAGTTCTTGCAGCAATATTTCCGTGTTTTTGTTAAAAAGGAAATAACAAAATAACTCTATCTTTAACTTATATGTCTCTATGCTGAACTATAATTGGAACTCTTATAGGAGATACAACACTGAGGTCTTTCTACCTTAAGTTAGATTAGCTTCTGTGTAGTTCAGTATTATGCCAATTAGTTTTATTGAATTTCACATTTAACTACTCAATCATACTGATGTCCATGTAACTTGATATTGTAAAATATGATTATTACCAAAATGTTTATTTATTTGTTTTTAAGGGGGGGAGAGGGGGAGGATGTGACTGATTTGATTGTTACACGTATAATTCAGTAAGATTTATTTTGACTAGAATTGTAACCACTTGTAACGCTGTATAAATTATTCCCCCTGTACCCTGTTAAGAAAAACTGTTATACAAGTATACATTTTCATTTAGGGATAGTTCAAGATTAAAAAAATAATATCAAGCACATACAGATAGCTATTCCTTGGGTATTGATTATATGTACAATAGTTTTCTTAAATATCAGTCAAGAAGGGAAGAAGCATTACTTTGGTCATAGTTCACATGAGAATAAAAGAAAAGAGGTGTAATTCCTCCAAAATTGGCCAAGATCCAAGTATTATTCGCAGTTACACAATGGTCCATTTGATAACAGAGTATAGGTACTACAA